CTATATAAATCTTTAAAATATAATAAGCCCTGAAAATCATAAATTAATAGTATTAGTTTATTTTTTCCAGCACGATTTCCATTAATAACATTTTCCTTGGACTTGGTACATCATGATGTCTGGAGTTTGAAACAATTGCCAATGGGTCATAGATTAAGTTCAAATGATGTTGATAGTGTGGTAATCACACAAACCGGAAGCCAACGCTGTGATAATATACATCAATGCATACCGCTGTTGCAACAATTGCAGGTAAGAATTCTCCATAAATGTTTTAAATTTAAAAAAATATTTAAATATCACATTTTAAATATTTGTTCTATATTTTCAGGAAGAACACTCCCAAAGGGTCCGCGAAGAGTTGCCATATAATTTCCTAATTGGCAACGAGGGTGTGGCGTTTGATGTTCGTGGATGGAATCATGAAAGTGGCTTGCAGGATGTTGATAAGCCTCATACATTAGTCATAGGATTTATAGGTAAGAGATATTTAAAATATGAAAGAGAAATTAAAAACAAAAATTAATTGAATTTATTATTTTAGGAAATTTTGATAATTCACCACCATCTCTGGGCCTGCTGCATACGTTAAGATGTCTTCTAATCGAATCCGTTAAACGTCGTAAACTACAAAAGTCTTATCAGGTCATAGGCCTGAGCAAATTTTGTCCCGACTGTCATTATGATGGTCCCAAAACTAAATAGTGGCGAATAATTTGTAAATGTCCACACGGTTCCTCAGGATACACTTTTTACACAGAGTACAAACACATTTCATGCATGTTGTTTTTTAAACAAGTCATGTTTAAAGCTATTAATTTTTAAATTATTTTAAGAAAATAAAATGGGGAAAAAAGAACTGCCATATATGTAAATCAAATTTTTGTTAAAATTTTGAAAATAAATTTTTGTTATATTAAATTGTGTTTTTTTTTTGCTAATTTTCACTCGGAATCGAAACCTGCTCTCGAGCGGGTTTGCTTGAAAAGTGTGAGTTTTTTACGGAGTCTACTCCTCACTGTTTTGTTTTGTGTGGGAGTACGTACGAGTCTCTTCTGTTTGAAAAATTAGAGTGGTAACAGAATCGCTCAAAATAGAGCAAGAGTTTGCTCTGTGAGTGAAAATGAGCAGAAACAGTTATTTGTTTTCAGATTTGTATGTGCGTGTAACAGCAAACGGGTTTTTATATTATGTACAGTAAAAGAGGGGCGATAGGTGGAAGGGGGAGAGTAGGAAGAGGGAAAAGAGTGGGCAAGTTATCTGGTAAAAAAATACATACATAGAAATACAACTGCCGTATAACAACTGCTCTATTTCGAACTAATTTTGCTCTCACCCAAAAACGAAGATAATATTCGAGCTCAAAAAATAAAGTTTGCTCAAATTTTTTCTGCTCCCTTTTTGTACGATTTAGAGCAAGTTTTTCGTAGGCCTGCACGCTTCCGTGACGTGTTTCTTCTAGCCGTTGTCATTTCTCATGTTAACAGTCACTCTTATATAAACCAGTAAGGAAAGGTCAAAAGTCGGGCGGGGCCGACTACATGATACCATGCGGTCTACTATGCGTATGTAGTAGAGCTCCCGTAAAAAATATTTGTGTGAAGTACATCATACCAACCATGAACCTTATTTGAATGAGTATTATGGCTTTAAAATGGTCACAATTCGGGGATTATATTCAACTCTGAATTGATTTTTAACAAATTTAACGGAGGCTTTTTTTACCTCTAGTACCAAATAACATTGATGTATAGTGCATGATACATGACTTCGATAAGGATTATATTAAAAAAAAAATAAAAAAACATTAAGTTCGGCTGGGCCAAACTTTTATTGCCCTCCACCTTATGGTAAGAGAAGCATTTTTATATAAAAGTTTCCGAATTCAAGCGTGTTTCATTTTAAACTTTATATACCAGTAAGATCGTTTGGATAATGTACTTAAACTTATCGGGAGGTACCGTTATATTGGGATATACAAAAACGTGGACGTTTACATACAATGTTTCGCTACCGGAGCTAGAACCTACAAATATCAATTTTTATCGGGAGGTACCGCTATATGGAGACTATACTAAAACATGAACTGATTTATCTCATTTTCAATACCAACCATCCTAGACACAATATAAATTGTATCGTGATTTCAACAGACAGACTGACAGACAGAACAATATGTATATCGGCAAATATTGAAGTGAGCTCGGGGTAAAGCCATTGAAATTCCAAAAAGTGCAAGAACTTACACTGCAACAGAAACAAAATAGACTCAAAAGAGCTAAAGAGTTGCTCGCTTGGCCGAAATTGGTGAACTGCCGAATTTGGTTATCTCCGATGAGAAAACATTCGTTGTCCAGCAGTTTGTAGACAAACAAATTTGCCAAAGATGTCAGCTAAAAATGTGCACCTTCGGTTGGCCACCAGAATTTTAGCTCCGACCATGGTGATGGTGTGGGCCGAATACCAAAGTGTCGATCACCTCAAGCAAGCGTTTCGCCGGGAAAGGGCCAAAATACCGCAGAGCAACATTCGGGCAGCGTGTGACGGTTTCATTGGCCGTTTGAAGGCCATAATTCGTGTCAAATGTGACCAATTCGAAAAAATCTAAACTTATTCTAAAATTTGATGTTATTTCCGATTTTTTTTTTGCTTTCATTTAATAAAATTTAAAAAAAAAACAAGTTAAAAAGTATCAGTCGGTATTGCCGATAGATATATACCCTCAGCCTGTGTTCGATTATTTAAACATAATTTGACTAGTGTTACAATTATTCAAAATTTTGACCCTCTATGGAGCAGGTTCCGAAAGAATGGGCCAATATTGTCTATTTAGTATAGGACCCAAAAATATGATATAAATATTCCGACGTTCCTGGTATGGATTATATCGACTAACTCCTTCACTTTATATGAGATATGTAATAATTTTTAGAAAATGTTAAAATGTGCGTGATGTACAAGATAGAATCCACCGAAATATTCCACTTTTATACTTCATCTGATACAAATAAAATATATTGAGCGAAATATTGGGCACCATTACAAGAAAGGATATTTATGTCCAATTTTATGCGAAATCGCAAATTCCGATAAATTTCATATTCATATCAGGCTTCTTATTGGGAGAAATATTTGATCATAGCAAGTAGTAAAGAATTGCTAAATTGTTTCGAAAGTTATGACAGATAAAATTATTGAAAATTGTGACCCCAGAAGGGGTTGGCAGATATATATCAACTTTACAACAGATCTTGAGTTAGCAAAAATATTTGAAATTTGAAGAGAGTTGGATGTTTATTGCGCTTTATTTGAGCGTTTTGTTTTTCAAAATCTTGAACCCTATATTTGGGGGAGAAGAAATGGTTCTATCTATACCACCTTTATAACACATCTTGTGTTGATAGAAATATTGAGAGTCTAAATGGAATCGGATGTTAATTTGGCGTTTTATGAGCTTTATGGGTATTCAAAATTTCGACACTTTGTGGGGGAGGTACCAGAAGGAGTGGACCGATACATTCCATGTTAACACCAGATCTTGGGAATATAAATATATTGGAATGTGTGAAATTTGAAGACGTTCGGATCCTTACATCACATTTTATAAGAGTTATAATTATTCAAAATGTTGACCCTTTGTGGGGGAGGTACTTGATGGAGTGAGCTGATACTGTCCATTTTCGCACCCGACCTAGCACTGATGCAAATATTAGGATTTGCAAAGTTAGAGCAAAATCGGATTATCGTTTCTCTTTTTGTGCAAAAAATACTTTTTTTAAAATTTCGACCTTTTGTGGGGGAGGTACCAGAAGAGTAGATCGATACATTCCATTTTCACACCAGATCTTGGGTATATAAAATTATTGGGATGTGTGAAATTTGAAGACTATCGGAATCTTACATCACATTTTATAAGAGTTTTAATTATTCAAAATTTTGACCCTTTGTGGGGGAGGTACTTGATGGAGTGGACCGATATTGTCTATTTTCGCACATGACCTAGCACTGATGAAAATATTAGGATTCGTAAAGTTCAAGCAAAATCGGGTTACCCCTTCTCTTTCTCTCCAAAAAATAAATTTTTTGCAAATTTCGACCTTTTGTGGGGGAGGCACCAGAAGGAGTGGACCGATATTGCCCATCTCCGAACTCGATCTAAGTTTGACAAAAATATTACGATGTACCAAGTTTGGACCAAATCGGACACTCCCTTCGAGAGTTATCGTGCGCACCAGCCAGCCAGACAGACGGTTTTAGGCCCTATGTCTCCAAAGAGACATAGGGTCTAAAACCGTTATTTCGACTAGGCACGTTTTGACCGTATCAAATGATATATACCCTCTGTAGCCATATGGCTGAGGGTATAATAAAAAATGTGGCTTTTGAATTTTTTTGCAGTTTCTTTATCTCAAGCTGTTAACATGAAATCGGATAAAAATATATATAGGAGCTATATCCAATTTGATCCGATCTCGAGATTTTGTACTGATCCGATATTTGATGTACTTGCTTCTAGACTCAATTCGGTCGTATATGCCAAAATTCAAGTCAGTTGGACTGGTATTGGCCATTTGGTGCACAATTAACCCGAAATCGATTGAAAATATATATGGGAGCTATATACAAATCTAAACTGATTCTCACCAATTTCAATAGGGTTCATCCTTGGGCCAAACAAATATTGTTTGGAAAATTTCATCTCAATCGGATAATAATTGCGACCTAAATTTTGTTAACAAAAATACATGGACAGACGTACGGACTGACATGCATGAACCGACTCAGAAAGTGATTCTATGAAGATCCTCAAAAGTAACTATGGGTCTATCTCGCTTCCTTCTCCATGTTACAAACAAATGCACAAAGACATAATATCTTCACCACTAGGTGGTGTAGGGTATAAAAATTATTATTTCAGTCAAATATATTTTAAACCCACAAGTCATTAAACGTCCCATTGAAATTTGAAAAAAATACAAATATTGAAATTACATGCATGGTTTTTATTCTCAACATTATTCTCTCTCTATTCCAGTTATATGAAGTGCAGCCAAATTTGTTTTAATTTTTAATTTGAATGAATTTTGGTGCATAATACATTAAACATGATTGAAATATCAATTTTACTATATGCCTACCAACAAAAAAGTCTAACATATATATATAATTTCAATTTCTTACCACATAATACAAAACTACATACTTATCTTAAAACTAACAATAGAAAACAACATAATAATCATTAACAAATATTACAAAACATTATTTCGAAAAAATCATCTAACCCCCCACATAAAATGTAGCTCTCAATCAAATTCCAATTTACGAAAACTGCCCTGTATCGACTCGATTTGTGACACAAATGTCGGTTGATTGCTGGACTTTTCGGAATTGTGAGAACTCTTTCGCAATATACCACGATCTGTGAGCAGCTTCATTTCATCTAATTGCAAAATAATATCACGTTTCTCGGCCAGCTCACGTTTCCACAGTTCCACCATTTCTTTTTGTGGGATTTTGCCACCCAATTCCAGTGGCAGGCATTCGGGATCGACGGCCTTGTGTAGATCCTTGTCACTGGTGTAGACATTGAGGCGGTTACGCATTTTCGAACTGACACGATTCTTTACGAAATCCACCACCCATTTTAGCGTGGTGGGAACATTAATCAAATGAATCTCTTTGTGTCTGAGCGGCAGTGACTGTTCACCCCATTTGAAGAGACGCCCAAATTCTGTGGGATTCCAATTGGTCACATGGGCTGTGGTTATGCCTCCAAAATCGCCAATATGTGTCAAACCCATGACCTGAGTTTGGGCATCTTCCATCAGACATTCATACGTTAGAAAGTGAACCTTGGCCTGATCCATGGCCGTGTATTTTTTGGCATTGAAATACTGGGCATTATTGATGATAACCCGACGTCCATTTTTGTCACGATTGGGTGTGGCATAAATATAACCATTGGTAATGATATCATTCAAGCGTTCGTCAAAGAAATCCAAAGTGGTGGTCATGTGGGGGAAGGTACGTCGAACATTAAGGTATTTCAGGAGAGTCTGTTCAGCCATGGGAACACTAAACTTTTTGGCTCTCAAAAAACGCAAAAGAAAATGATCATCGGTGCGCACATTCTGGACATCTTCATTTTTGGCCAACCAATTGCGGAACTGTTCAAGGCATTGATCCCTTGTGCATTTGTCTTCACGCAATTCGCGTTTGGCAACTTTCAACACGCTCTCCGTGAGCATGGCTTCGTTTTGATCCACTGTGGTTTGTTTCATTTTGAGAGATTGATTTGGACACTAATTTGAGAGTAACTGGACAAAGATAATAGATCTGAAATAAAGAAGAAGAAAAGAGAAATTTAATAATAATAAAAATAATTATAATAATAACAATATTGACAATGATAGTAATAATAATTTCCATTAAAAATAAACAAATTATTTATGTAATTTCCCCAGCTTTCACAAGGCGTTCATTGGACCATAGAAGCATAATAGCTTCGAGAAAGGTTCCTTAGAACGAACCTTCTCAGAAGAAGCGTACATAAATTTCGTTACACTTTTTTTGCTCTATTCAAAAAAAAAAAAGAAAATCTAGGACAAGGAATGGGCCCTTAGAAGCACCCCTTATTAGAGAAAGAGACCTTACAATACCGCTTTCCTAAAAAAGAAGTCCTTTGAAGAACTGTTTTAAAGAATGAACCCCTGGAAGTTCCTTTATTTATAGATAGGTCTACTTATAAATAGAAAATCTTGCTATCTATGGAAGACCTACATATAGCAGATCTCCTGAAGGTGTCTTAATTTTAGGAAAACTCCCGAGGGCGTTCTCACTATAGAAGACCTCCTGAGAGCTCCTAAGGATCTAATATATTTAAAGCCCTCCTAGAGATGTTCTATCAATAAAGGACCACTGAGGGTCTTTAATATGTAGAAGATCTGCTGAGAGCCTTCCGAGGGATTTCGATGTACATAAGACCTACTGAATGTCTTCAATGTGTAAAGGACCTTTTCAATGTGTAGATGGGTCTTCAAACTATTCTGAGGGCTTTCTATCTTCGAAAGATACCATGATAACCCCTGAGGGTCTATTATCGTTAAAAGACCACCTGAAAATCTTCTATCTATAGGTGAATTTCGAGGGCCTTCTATCTGTAGAATAACTCTTAAGTGTCTTTTATTTTTATAAGATCTTCTGAGGATACTATATCTATAGCAGTCCTCCTGAGTGTCTTCTACGACCTTCTGGGGTTCTTCTATCCTTGGAAGGTATCCTGAAAGTCGTCTATCAATAAGAAACCTCCTGTGGGTTTTATATTTATAAAAGAGCCATAAGGTCCTTACATCTAACGAAAATCTCCTTTAGATTTTCTATCTGTAGAAGACCACCTAAGGGTCTTTTAACTTAAAATGTCCCCCTGAGATTATTCTGTCTATATAAGGTCCCTGAAAGTCTTCTATCAATAGGGGACCTCCTAAGGGTTTAATATTTGTAAAAACCCTACGGGGTTTCTATCTATAGAAGACTTCCTTTACATCTTCTATCAACAGAAGACCTCCTGGGGGTTTACTGTGAACAGAAGAAGCTTTATTTCGGTAAAACAACTCCTAAGGCTCTTATATCTTAAGAAGACCTCTTAAGTCAATTAAAAAAGGTTTATTGCTGTAAAACAACTCCTAAGGGTCTTCTATGTACAAAGGGACCTCCCGAATCAACAGAACAACTCTTCCTAGGGGTATTTCGTCTATTGAAGACAATCCGACAGTCTTATATGTGTAAAAAACATATTGAGAACCACTAAGTGTCTTCTATCTATAGAAGGCCTCCTGAAAGTCTTCTTTATATACAGGATCTACTAAAGGTCTTATATTTATAGAAGACCCCCTGAGGGTCTTCTATCTCAAGAAGATCTCCGTAGGGACTATCATCTATAGATGGCCTCCTGAGAGTCTTCTACATATAGAACCCCATTTTGAAGGCTTTTTAATTGCAGAAGACCTCTTCTATACGTAGACAACCTTTTAACTATCTTTTATCTCTAATTGAACGTCTGTATATAGAAAAACTTCAAAAGGCAAGTTTTTCAATCCTTCTATAGAGGATTTTTTTGGAGGTCTTCTATTTAGGTATCAGTGATAATGGAGGTATAATTGTTTCATTATGGGGGAAACCCATGTATTACTAAACTTAATCTTGACCTAATTCTTTTTATTATTTTCTTCAAAATTCGATTATGGTTTATGACTAACTTATTTAGCAATCCGATTATTGCCGTTTAAATCAAACGATTTTATGAGATGTGATCATAAATGCCGTAATTGACACGAGCACACGAGCATAAAATAAGGTTAAATATCTTTGGAGCTGACTGTAAGTGGAAGTAATGCAATAATAAGTAGAGTCATTTACTAGCACACCAACACAAAAACACATATATTGACAGTTGTCATTTCAGATTTTATCCATCTATGTAGGTTTTGTGACTTCCATAGGCAGCCCCGCCATCAAAAAGTTCAAGTTCATCCAAAAACAAAAAGCCCAAACTCAACTTTGATGACTACCTTAAAGAGTATCCATGGTTCCAGTGGATGCCATCATAAACCAACAAACTTATAAATATGAATTAGCAAATTGCTGTTGTTTTTGGGGATTTAAATACTTCGCCGCAGCATTGTTTGTTTATGTTTATATGAAACACAAAAACAACAACAATAACTGAATCTTTTGGTTTTAAGTTTTAATGTAAAATACACACCACTCACACAAATACATTTTTAATGAACATCTCTATGGAGGCAGGCATTGACTTGAAAATGTAGTCTAAAGTCAATATGGCAAATACAAATTAGTTCAAGTTCAAGCTAATAATATTTCTTTTTGTCTTTTTTTTGGTTTGAATTTTTGTTCTTCATATTTTTGGTGGTTAGTGTGCCATGCAGAGTTGGATAGTAGACCATTATTTTTTTTTTGTAAATCGTTGTTTAAAATGTATTTCAAGTTCGAATCAATTTTCTTGATGTTAATGTCAGTGGGGTAATTAGTGCAAGCTGTCTAAATGATAACTGCTATCAAATATCTGGAGTATATTTTTTTATCAATGGCAATTTCAATTTTTTTTAAATTTCTAAATAAAACTTGATTTTCTAGTTAAGGGCAAAATTGTCGATACCTGCAAATTTTCATTTGCTTACAATTTAGGTAATTAACACAAAGGATTAACCGATGACTTGCTGTAACAATTGCAAGTATTTTCACAACTATTCCCTAACCGAATGCACTAGAATTCTAAAATTAGGGATGAGAGTCACTAATGCAGCGCATGATTGACATACCAAAGGAATTTTGGAAATTCAAACTTTAAGGTTACGAAAAGTGCTTAAATGGTACTAAACTTCTAAAATGGTACCATTTAGTATTACTTATACGGAAAGAGCTAAAAGGTTGAAATTTGGTAATAGAATCAAGGTTTTAAGGTTAGTTTGATACATGAAGGTGATTTTGGAAATGTATACAAAGTGTGCGAACTGCACTAACAGATGAAGCTGGAATTTTGAATTTTTATACCCTCCACCATACTATGGAGGGTATATTAATTTTGTCATTCCGTTTGTAACTCATCGAAATACTCATGTCAGACCCAACAAAGTATATATATTCTTGATCAGCGTAAAATTCTAAGACGATTTAGCCTTGTCTGTCTGTGTGTCCGTCTGTCTGTCTGTCTGTTGTAATCACGCTATCTTTCGAACAAATTGAAATAGAAGGCTAACATTTTGCACACATGTATATTTTGCCAGTAGGCAGGTTAAGTTTGTAAATGGGCCATGTAGGTCTAAGTTATCATATAGCCCCCATATAACGGTACCTCCCGATATTCGGTATTTTGATGATTTTAGCGACATTATTCACCGGAATTGTTTCAAATTTGGCATTTGAAGTTCGTAATGGATACTACAGCCTAAGACAGAAAATAATCTGTGTAGGTCCACGTCTTCGTATAGCCCCTATATAACGGTACCCCCCGATATTCGGTATTTTGATGTTTTTATTTAACGAAATCGTTCCGAATTTGGTATTTGAAGTTCGTAATAGATGCTGCAGCATAAAACAGAAAATGAGCCATGTATGTCCACGTCTTCGTATAGCCCCGCAGGTTCGCTATTCATGTGTAGCCTGGACATGTGGAGGTAGTTTCGGAAATGTGTACTATAATTGTACGAAAAGTACTGAATGGTACTATATTTGATATTGGGTGAAGGGATGCAGATAAAATTCTTTACTTTGACATTTTGATTAGAGATGGTATCTGTGTTTGCGATTTGGTGGTGGCTAGGAAATTTGTCCTTTATTTGTACGAAAAGTACTAAATGGTACTAAATTTCGTATTGGGTGAAGGAATAGGGAAATTTGATATTAAGGCCTCTGTTGGTATCTGTAATTGAGATATGGAGGTAGTTTTGGAAATTTGTACTATAATTGTAGGAAAAGTACTAAATGTGTGTGGATGCCACTGTTGGTGTTCGTTTTTATACCCTACACCACAAGGTGGTCAGGGTATTACGTATTTGTGCATTTGTTTGTAACAGGCAAAAGGAAACGAGATAGACCCATAGTTCCTTTTGATGATCTGCATAGAATCACTTTCTGAGTCGATTTATGCATGTCAGTCCGTCTGTCCGTCCGTCCGTCCGTCTGTCCATGTATTCTTGTGAACAAAATGCAGGTCGCATTTATTATCCGATTGAGATGAAATTTAGCAAACAACATTTGTTTGGCCCAAGGAAGAACCCTATTGAAATTGGAGATAATCGGTAAAAAATTATATACAGCTCCCATATATATCTTCGTCCGATTTGCATTTTATTGTGCACCAAACGTGTAATATCAGCCCGAATAGTATGGAATTTTGCACATACAACCAAATTGGGCCTGAAAATAAGTATACCAAATTTTATCGAAATCGGTTCAGATATAGCTATAGCTCCCATATATATTGTTCATCCGATTTGTTATTTTTGTCCTCCGCAGCCGTAATATGCACTCTGTAACAACAATATTTGGGGAAATATATCAAATGCAGCTCAGAAATACCTTTGCTAAATTTTATCGAGATCGGTTCAGATTTGGATATAGCTCCCATATATAACTTCGTCCGATTTACCTTTTATTGTGCACCAAACGTCTAATATTTGTCCAAATTTGGCACATACGACCGAATTTAGTCTAGAAGGTAGCATGCCAAATTTGGTGAAGATCGGTTCAGATATAGTTATAGCTCCCATATATATTGTTCATCCGATTTATTGTATTTGTTACCCACAGCCGTAATA